TTTTTTTTTTCCTTTTTTCACTTTGAGACAGTCTCACTCTATTGCTCAGGCTGGAGTGCACTGGTGCAACCTTGATTCACTGCAAGCTCCGCCTTCCCAGTTTAAGCGATTCTCCTGTCACAGCCTCCCAAGTAGCTGGGATTATAGGCCCACGCTGCCACACCTGGCCAATTTTTGTATTTTTAGTAGAGATGGGGTTTCACCATGTTGACTAGGCTGGTCTTGAACCGCTGACCTCAGGTGATTTGCCTGCCTTGGCCTCCCGAAGTGCTGGGATTATAGGCATGAGCCGCCTCACCCGGTCTTTTTTTTTTTTTGAGATGAAGTTTCACTCTTGTTGTCCAGGCTGGAGTGCAGTGGCACAATCTCAGCTCATTGCAACATCCGCCTCCCAGGTTCAAACAATTCTCTTGCCTCAGCCTCCTGCATAGCTGGGATTACAGGCACATGCCACCAGGCCCAGCTAATTTTTATATTTTTGTTAGACACGGGGTTCACCATGTTGGTCAGGCTGGTCTGGAACTCCTGACTGCAATTAATTCACCTTCCTCAGCCTCTCAAAGTGCTGGGATTACAGGCTCGAGCCACCGTGTCTTGCCCCCTTGACTTGTCTAAGTCGCAGAACTTGATTTTGAATTTGGGCTTCTAGCCCAAGTTTCCCACCATACCATGAAGTTCCCTACAAGGATCCATCACTTTAGCCATACCTGCTTGCTTATGGGCACTTTAGGGAATCCCTCTCATATAATCCAGACCAGCTATGTAGTTTGTGGGACCCAGTGCAAATTGAGTACATTGAGCCCCGTATTCAAAACATATGAATTTGAAGCAAAGTGTTAAACTAAACACAGACCCTTGTTAAGTACAGGGCTGTGTGTGACTACACAGGTCACCCACCCATAAAAATGCCCTGCATGTAATTCCCCCAGCGCATATCACCTTTCACCACCACCCCTTCACTGGCTAACTCTTTTCCTTCCTTGGAGACTCAGCTCAAATATCACTTCCTCCAAGAAGCCTCTCTCAATTGCATCCAGTCTCAAGCTATAGTAAGCCCCTCTGGTCCCTCAAGGCATCCTGTCATAGCACTTACCAGACCATGCTGTATCATTCTCCCTGTTGCACGATCCCCATCCTCCCACCCCGGATCTCCACACACCGGACTGGGAGCTCCTTAAAGGAAGGGACTGTGCTTTCCAGCTCTACATTCCCAGAACTTAAACACTGGGTGAGACACCTTGCAGGTGCTCAAAGAGTTTTGTGGAATGGCGTCACCAGACTCGGTGAGGAGGAACAGCAAACCCCAATCTGAAGGAAGATAGGCTATTGGGGAACATAGTCAGGTAGATGAAGGTACCAAAGGGGGCGGGTTGAGGAGGAGTCATGGGGGTGTCAGGGGTTTGGTGATGGTGAGGACCACAGCCAGACAAGGAAGGATGAGATAAGGAGCACTGTCAACAAAACTGACTAATCCAGGAAGGCCTCCTGGAGTAGGAGGTCCATATGCCACCAGGAAGTGAGGTGGGGATCAGGAATACATAAATAGATCCAACCTGCCCACACGCTCTTCTCTGTGAGTCAAGGGACTGGATTGTGACAAGTCATGGAAGTATAGCTTCTTTAAGTCTCTCTGCCCAGCCCCCAGCTCCAGCCTTTCTTAGAAACTATTGGCACAGTGGCTCACACTTATAATCCCAACACTGTGAGAGGCTGAGATGGGAGGATCACTTGAGCCCAGAAGTTCAAGACCAGCCTGAGCAACATAGTGAAACCCCGTTTCTACAAAAAAAAAAAAAAAAAAGAAAGAAAGAAAGAAAAGAAAAGAAAGAAAATTAGCCAGGTGTGGCAGCAGTACATCAATAGTCCCAGCTACTTGAGAGGCTGAGGTGGGAGGATCACCTGTGCTCAGGAAGTCAAGGCTGCAGTGATCCAAGATTACACTGCTGCACTCCAGTCTGGCCAATAGAGCAAGACACTATCTCAAAAAGAAAGAGAGAAAGGGAAAAAAGGAAAGAAGGAAGGGAGGAAGGAGGGAGGGAGGGAGGGAGGAAAAGAAGAAAGGAAGAAAAGGAAAAAAAGGAAGAAAGGAGGGAGGGAGGGAGGAAAGGAGGAAGGAAAGGAAGAGGAAGGAAGGAAGAAAGAAAGAAGGAAAGGAAGAAAAAGAGAGAAAGGAGGGAGGGAAGGAGGGAAGGAAGGAAGGAAGGAAGGAAGGAAGGAAGGAAGGAAGGAAGGAAGGAAGGAAGGAAGGAAGGAAGGGACAAAAGGAAGGAAGGACAAAAGGAAGGAAGGAAAGGACCAGACTTGTGTCTTACGGTAGGTTGATGGTATCATCCTCCAAGAAGTTGACCAAACTGCCTTTTGAGGATAATGGGAGTCCTTTGGTAGTGACGGTCCGGTTCATAGACTTGGGGTTTGGAAAGGGCTTTGGCAGTTGGTCGAGGGCATTCATCATGTTGAAGTTTTCTTTCTTCAGTACAGCCTCCTCCCCATCTCCCACTTGGTGGAGTGCCTCTGATGCCATCTGGTTTGTTGGGATGACGGCTGTCACTGTGCAGGACAACCCAGTTGACCAGAAGCAGAGAGAAACTGTGGGGACAGTGCCCCACCTTTAGTTTGGGCAGGATGCAGGTGCAATGAGCTGACTTCATAATCATCACAGAGTGTAACAATTAATGCGAGCCTCCCCTTGGTTTGAGGCTACTGCTCCAGGCTAGCTATGTGGCTGGCCAGACCAAGGGCCAGTGTGACTGAGAACCAGTGTCATGAGAGGGGTAGAACCAAGGAACAGACTGGATGAGCCCTTGGGCCCCTTCCAGCTCTAATACTCCATGGTGATAGCAGCCCTGCCCTTCTCTGATGATCTCAAAATGACTAATACCTGTGCCCTTTGGCACTGCCCTGGTGGGAAGGAGAACAAGGATGGTGAGAGATGGGCATGGGGTGTAGAGGAAGACCGTGCGGCCCTGAGAGATAGGCAGTACTGGAAAGTGTCTGTGGAGGCGGGAGACTTTGTCCATAGATGCTAGAGCTTTCTATCCTGAAACCATAGGCAGCAGACTCCACTGTGCCCAGTCGGTTACAGAAAGGGAAAGCCCAGATGGTTCATAGGGGTTCATGGCTCACATATGATCAGACTTCACTGCTAGAATTTGACATGTGCCAAACCCGTACTCCCAAGTACCTTCCTGTGTTGAGTGACAATGGTGGCTGTTGCAACAGGATACAGAGATGGGCCACACATGATCTCTGCTCTCAGAGAAACCACCTGACAGTAGTAGGAAAACATGTACACAGCTTCAGGGGTGGGAGGGAGGCTGTTACAAAGCACTGGCTCTGCAGTCACATGTGGATGTGAATCCAGCCCTGTGCTGCCTGGCTGGGTGACCTTTGGCAAGTGATTTAACCTCAGTTTCTTCATTGGTGAAACAGGGATAAAAAATAGCGCCTCCCTCATAGATTTGTAAGGATATAACTATGTAAAGTTTTGTTTCTTCCAATGGATAAGGCAAAGCAAAGGACATTTAAAAATAGCAAATCGTGTGTGTGTGTGTGTGTGTGTGTGTGTGTGTGTGTCTTCTATATAACCAAGGTTTTTCGACCTTAAAAAAAAAAAAGCCAGGCTCAATGGCTCACGCCTGTGATCCCAGCACTTTGGGAGACTGAGGGAGGTGGATCAGTCCGAGGTCAGGAGTTCAAGACCAGCCTGGCCAAGATGGTGAAACCCTGTCTCTACTAAAAATACACAAATTAGCCTGGCTCGGTGGCAGGTGCCTGTAATCCCAGCTACTCAGGAGGCTGAGGGAGGAGAATCGCTTGAATCTGGGAGGCAGAGATTGCCAGGAGCCGAGATCGCCCACTGCACTCCAGCCTGGGTGACAGAGTGTTAAAAAAAAAAAAAAAGGCCGGGCACGGTGGCTCACACCTGTAGTCCCGCCACTTTAGGAGACCAAGGCAGGATTGTTTGAGCCCAGGAGTTTGAGTCCTGCCTGGGCAACATGGTGAAACCCTGTTTTGTATAGGCGAAACCTCTACAGAAAACACAAAAATTAGCTGGGCATGGTGGCACGTGAGTGCAGTCCCAGCTACTCAGGAGGCTGAGGCAGGAGGATCGCTTGAACTCAGGAGGTCAAGGCTGCAATGAGCTGAGAACTCACCAGGGCACTCCAGCCTGGGCAGCAGACCTAGAACCTGTAATAACCAAAAAAAAAAAAATAGACGCAGGTGCCCTCTGGGTGCTGCTTCTTGGCACCTGTCGTATAATCTGTAATGGTGTGACTTCTGCAATTCGTTTTCATTGTCTATATTTCCCTCGCTCACGGGTAAGCTCCCTGGGTGTAAGGGCAGGTCGTCTTGTGTCATATTTTGTCCCCAGCGTTTGGAACGGAAGCTAGCACACAGGAGGCTCTTTAGAATGTCGGTGTGTGTGTTGCGGAAGAAGGTAGAGGCCAACTGCGATGCGGCCGTGGGTGGCGTGTTGAGCGCGGAGGGGGTCGTGGGACGCGGGAACCTGCGCCTGCGGGTGGCCAGCGGGCGGCGGTGGAGAGGGGCGCGCGCCGCGGGCCGGGTGTAGGGGGCGCAGCGGCTCCGACCTTCATGGCCCACAGATGGCGCTGCAGGCCAGGCCCTCGCCGCGCGCCAGCCGGGAACCCGGAAGCGGCGGCGAGGCGCGACCGGGCGGGCGGGCTTCGGGCGCGGGAATTCCGGCGGATCCTGGGAGGGCGGATGGCCCCCAGCCCGACCCTCGGCGCCGCCTCCTCCTCCCTCCTTCCTCCTCCCGCAGCCAGCGCGCCGGTGTCCTTTCTAGGAAAGGGCGTGGAGGGGCGTCTGGAGAGGGCCCCGCGGATGCTCACGTGACGGGTAGTCCCCCTGGGGCTGTCCGGGCCTGTGGGGAACATGGGCGTGCTCAGGGTCGGACTGTGCCCAGGCCTCACCCAGGAGATGATCCAGCTTCTCAGGAACCGCGGGATCAAGACAGGTGACCGGTTGTGCGCGTGCCAGGGAGCCGCGCGACCCGCGCCCAGCCTGGACAGGCCCCAAGGGCTGGCACACTGTCCTGGCATACCTGCAAGGCGCTTCCCCTCCATTCCTAGAGGGCCACGCTTTGGAGAGGCTCAGCAAGGGTGGGCGTCGGGAACCAAGCTCTAAAGCAGAGTAGGGGGAGGATTCCTGCTGTGTGCAGGGCACCGCGCCGGCTCCAGCAGCTCTGTTATTGCACACTGGTCTCCTGAGACGGCCTGCTGGGAGGTAGAATTGACACCCCATTTTACAGATGAGGAAAAACCTAGTGTGGGAGGCCCCAGGCCTCCTCTGCCAAACCTCTTTTTTTGTTTTGTTTTCAGTGGTGGACCTGGTTTCTGCAGACCTGGAGGAGGTAGCTCAGAAATGTGGCTTGTCTTACAAGGTGAGCTCCGGATCTCCACCCTCCAAACCTGAGTGTCTTTAAAGCCCATCCCAAACCGGCTGGGTGCGGTGCCTCATGCCTGTAATCCCATCACTTCGGGAAGCCAAGGCAGGTGGATCACTTGAAGCCAGAGGTCTCCAGAGGAGTTCGAGACCAGCTTGGCCAACATAGTAAAACCCCGTCTCTACTAAAAATACAAAAATTAGCTGGGTATGGTGGTGCACGCCTACAATCCTAGCTACTCGGTAGACTGAGGAACGAGAATCACTTGAACCCCGGAGGCCAAGGGTGCAGTGAACCGAGATCATACCACTGCACTCCAGTCTGGGCGACAGAGTGACGCTCTGTCTAAAACAACAACAAAAGTCCATTCCAAACCAAGGGGAGCAGAGGATTCTCAGAGACTGATAAGCGGGGTAAATGAGACCCTGGGATGGCAGCTTCTACAGGCGGTTCTTTGCTGAGCACTCTGGGCCCCTTTGGCAGGCCCTGGTTGCCCTGAGGCGGGTGCTGCTGGCTCAGTTCTCAGCTTTCCCCTTGAATGGTGCTGATCTCTATGAGGAACTGAAGACCTCCACTGCCATCCTGTCCACCGGCATTGGCAGGTTTGTATGTGTACTGGGGGAAGAAGGTGAGAGGCAGGAGGACGGGGCTGCCTCTCAGCTCTGCTTTTGATGCTTGAGTCTAGATAGGAGGGATTTTTTTTTTTAAACGATGGATGAAGGGAAGGAAAGGGGTTCTTATCCTATAACAGGTTTATGGGGCTTCTCGGCCTTGACACTGTTGATATTTAGGAACAGGTAATTATTTGTTGCGGTGGGGAGTGTGGAGGTGGTCCTGTGCATTGTAGGATGTTTAGCAGCACCCCTGGTCTCTGCCCACTAGATGCCAGCAGCACCTTCCCCACTCCAGTTGTGACCATCAGAAATGTCTCCTGACGTGGCTAAATGTCCCTGGGAGGCACAATTGCCTCGAGCTAAGAAACACTGTCCTATAACACAAATGTCATTATCTCATTATTTTCACCATCTTCTCTGGCCCTGCTTCTTGTTTTATTTAAGGATATGGCAAGAGAATTTACTGAGTGCCTACTATGTGCAGGCATCGCCTGTGTGTTCTAAGTAATCTCTTCGGTGGCTCTCCCAGTTAGAGATTATTAACCCTACTTGAGTTTGGCCTAAGAGGAGCAAATGGCAAAGCTGAGGCTCAAGCCCAGGGGTATGTGGCCCAGAACATGGTTCCTTCACCACATCTGCAACAGTAGGGAAGAGGGGAGTTCAGATAAAGGAGCAGTTGTGGGCCAGACGCAGTGCTCACGCCTGTAATCTGAGCACTTTGAGAGGCTGAGGCAGGCAGATCACTGGAGGCCAGGAAGTTGAGACCTGCCTGGCCAACATGATGCAACCCCGGCTCTATACAAAAATCAGTCAGGTGTGGTGGCAGGCGCTTGTAATCCCAGCTACTTGGGAGGCTGAGGCTGGAGAATCGCTTGAACCGGGGAGGCAGAGGTTGCAATAAGCTGAGATTGCACCACTGCACTCCAGCCTGGGTGACAGCAAGACACTGTCTCAAACAAAAGGAGCAGTTATGTTCTGCCACGTGGTTTGGTGGGTTGGGGAAGAGTTGCAAAAATGACAGACATTTGCTGGCCACGTGAGTCTTGACCTCTTTCCTGGTCCGTTTGTGCAGAATTTGATGGCCACTGCCACAAAGGTCTGGATTGGTTTGGCCCTTTCTGTTTCCATAACACATTCTCTTGGCAGGGTTTATACAGCATGGTGCTCGCTCTCCCTGGTTCTCCCTGATTGGGGGTCTGGGCCTGTGATCCATGAAGCACTGGCTAGGGCCTGCTGGGTGCTTGGTATGCGCAGATGATACATACATGAATGAGGCAAGGCCCTGCCCTTAAGGCCCCTAGTTGAGTTTAGGAGAAAAGTAGGTGAATACAAGACAGGTGTAGCAAGCACAGAGGGAGGCAGCTGTGAGGAGGGAGTGATGAACAGGAAGCCAATTGGCCTTGGGCTTAGGGAATTTATAAAACCAACAGACACGGAGGGCGAATTCAAGTGGCAACCTGGAAGGATTGCAGCTGCCTCTGGTCTCTGCAGGGAGATGGTGGAGTGATTCAGGAGTGCTCTGAAGAAGGCGGGACTTGGGCTTGGAGGAACAGATTAACTTTTGCTGAATGCTTTCCATGAACAGGCATGGTGCTCAGCACTTCACCGTACATTATTTTATTTATTCATCACAACCACCAATGAACATGTTGCTGTTTAAATCATTATTCCATAGGCGAAGAAGTTGGGACTCAGGTTAAAAGACTTGCTCAAGGTTGTGCAGTTAGCAAACGGCAGACCAGTTATTTGAGGTCATGCCTGTCATAATCCCAAGTCTAGGAATGCAGCTCTAACTCATCCGCCTAGAGGTGGGAAGCCATTGTGAAATCAGGGTTATAGGCAGTGGGGTAGAGGTGTGCAGGGTGGAAGGGTGGCAGAGGCCAAGCAGGGCCCTGGCAGTGCTGGTCTGGGGTGTGCGAGTCCAGTCTAGGGCAGGTGACAGACATGTTGAAGCACTGTGACAAGGCCTACTATCAAGAGGAATGTATGGTGAAGAATCAAAGCTGGCTCGCCTGGTGTCTAGCCTTTCTTATAGTGTTCTGTGGACGGTTAACAGTGTAACTTTAAAACTTGGGAGGAGGGGAGTTCTGTAGTCAGAAGTTTGAGACGTGCCTGACGAATCCAAATTAAACAGGTTTCTCTGTTGTGGGCCACCTCAGAGCCTTTAGTGCTGAGGCGCAGTGATGCCTTACTGGGTGTTATAGCATATTACATACCTTGGGAAAAGCTGTGTTCATGAGGGATATTGATTATTCCTCACAAGCCAGAGTTAGTTATGTTCATCCTAATATCCCTCATTTTAGAATAAGGTCTTCAGGAAATAGGAGACATTGAGGTGAAGTGTGAATGGACTGAAAGAATGGCTAAAAGGCAGTTCAGAGGGAAAGGCAGAGGAGAAATCCCAGAACTCACCTGCATTCTAGGCAGTGGTAAAACCGAGGTGTACTTCTGCTTCACGAGGCAAGACGGGTCTCTCCCTGTTGACATGTGGAGTTAGGGGTGATGGGGACATATTGCTAGGAAGGTCCTCTGGGCAGTAGGAGAGGCATGAAATGGAAACTCAGGTGAGAGGTTGGCTGGAAGGTGGATTTGGGAATACCTTATACAGACTAATCTCCACAGCCAAGGATGTGGCTGATTCTTGACTGGAGTCAATATCAGTGGTTCAACCCCAGCCACACGTTAAATTTCATCTGGGAAACTGAAAAAGAGATATTTATGCTCTGGTCCCAACTCTAGAAATTCTAAATTAGTCTGGGCCAGTGGTTCCCAAACTTGTGTGCACATTGGAATCACCCGAGGACTCTTTTAAACATTACAAAGCCCAAGTCTTCCCCACACCAGTTAATCACATTCACTGGGAGTGGGACACAGACGTCAGTGTTTTTAAATTTGTTTTCCACAGACAGGGTCTTGCTGTGTTGCCCAGGCTGGAATGCAGTGGTGCACGATCATAGCTCACTTCAGCTTTGAACTCCTGGACTCAAGCAGTCCTCCCGCCTCAGCCTCCCAAGTAGCTGGGACTACAGGTGCTTACCACCATGCCTGGCTAATCAAAAAAAAAAGAAAATTTTTTTTTTTTTGTAGAGACAAGGTCTTGCTATGTTGCCCAGGCTGATCTCAAAGTCCTGGGCTAAAGCAGTCCTCCCACCTGGGCCTCCCAAGGTGCTGAGATGACAGGTATAAGCCACCATGCCTGGCCAGGCATCAGTGGTTTTTTTTTTTTTTTTTTTGAGACTGAGTCTTGCTCTGTCACCCAGGCTGGAGTGTCATGGCATGATCTCAGCTCACTGCAACCTCTACCTCCCAAGTTCAAGTGATTCTCCTGCCTCAGCCTCCTGAGTAGCTGGAACATAGGCATGCGCCAGCACACCTGGCTATTTTTATGTGGTTTTTTTTTTTTGTAGAGATGGAGTTTCACCATGTTGGTCAGGCTGGTCTGGAACTTTTGACCTCATGATTCACCCACCTCAGCTTCCCAAAGTGCTGGGATTACAGGTGTGAGCCACCTTGCCCAATCCATCATCAGTATTTTTTTTGAAGCTCCCAGGTGAATCTAATGTGCAGACAACTTTGGGTACTGCTGATGTAGGCATTTTTTTAAAAAAACTCCCCTGATTTTAATGTACAGGCAGGATTGAGACTAACTAGTCTAATGATTCTGAAACCTGAGTGTGTATCAGAATCACCTGGAGGCCTTGTTGAAACGCAGGTTTCAAGTGTGGGCTCCATTCCCAGAGTTTCTGATTCAGTAGGTCTTGGGGAGGGGAGCTGAGAATTTGCATTTCTAGCCAGTCCCTAAAGGTTGCTGCTGCACCTGGTCTGGGGACCACACTGGGGACTCACCCTGGGGTTCCCTTGATTTCAATGGGAAGAATAGAATCAGGAGTGGCAGAGGCTAGATGCTTATTCAACAGAGATGGGGTGAGCACAATTATCTCAAGAAGCCACAGGGCTAGAGCGGCAACCAGAGGAACCTGCGGGTATCATCGTGGGGGTCCCTGGAATTAAATGGATAGGGTGCTTACTAAAGTGCTGCTTGACATATACAGAGAGGCCATGGGAGGTCTTCAAGAACCTTTTCTTTTTCTTTTTTCTTTTTTTTTTTGAGAAAGAGTCTCGCTCTCTCACCAGGCTGGAGTACAGTGGTGTGATCTCGGCTCACTGCAACCTCCGCCTCCTGCTTAAACAGTTCTCCCGCCTCAGCCTCCTGAATAGCTGGGATTACGGACATCCACCACCATGCCCAGCTAATTTTTGCATCTTTTTAAGTAGAGATGGTGTTTCACCATGTTGGCCAGGATGGTCTGAATCTCGGCCTCCCAAAGTGCTGCGATTACAGGCGTGAGCCACCACGCCCGGCCTCAAGAACCATTTTAAGGACTGGAACCTGTGAAGATACTTGTAGGGCTAGAAAAGGGATGCATGTGGTAAGGCGTTGGTACGGCACATGGCATAGAAGAAGCTTCAGCCCAGAGATCGGGCAGGGTGTGGAGGGCAGGTGGGGACTGTTTCATGTGGTTGAGGGACAGAACCTGGATTAGGAATTGGCATGCCATGAGGTTTATCCCAAGGCTTGCACAGCCAGTGTTGATGATACACAAGCTAATTAAAAGTGATAACACATTTCTATTATTCATTTTTCTGGAATGATTATTGGGCGCCTCCTGTGTTTCAGGCACTGTGCTAGTGCTGGGGATGCAATAGGGATAGGACCCAGTCCTTGCCCCACGGTGCCCTCAGCTTAGAGGAGTGAGACAGAGAAAAGCAAATAAAAAATAATTACTACTACTACTAATAATAATAATTACAGACTCCTAGGACTAGTGAGGATACAAGATCAACACATACAAATCAACTACATTTCTCTATACTCACAATGGACATGCTGAAACTAAAATAAAAAACACTACCATTTATTGGCCAGGCGCAGTGGCTCATGCCTGTAATCCCAGCACTTTGTGAGGCCAAGGCAAGTGGATAACCTGAGGTCAGGAGTTCAAGACCAGCCTGGCCAACATGGTGAAACCTGGTCTCTACTAAAAATACAAAAATTAGCGGGCATAGTGGCAGGTGACTGTAATCCCAGCTACTCGGGAGGTTGAGACAGAAGAATCACTTGAACCTGGGAGGCAGAGGTTACATGAGTGGAGATTGCACCACTGCACTCCAGCCTGGGTGACAGAGTGAAGCTCTGTTTCAAAAACAAAAACAAAAAAACAATACCATTTATAGTTGCTTCAGATAAAATTAAATACTTAGGTATAAGTCTAACAAAGCATGTGTAGAATCTGCTGAAATTTTAAATTGCTGATGAAAAAGAACTAAGATGACTCAGACAAATGGATGACATGTACTGTGTTCATGGATTGGGAGACTGAACATAATAAGGATTTCAGCCGAGTACAGTGACTCACGCCTGTAATCCCAGGACTTTGGGAGGCTGAGGCGGGCGGATCACCTGATGTTAGGAGTTTGAGACCAGCTTGACCAATATGGTGAAACCCCATCTTGGAAAAAAAAAAAAGATTTCAATTCTCCCTAAGTTGATCTGTAGATTTAATGCAGTTTCTATAAAAATCCCAGCCAGGTTTTTTTAATAGACATAGACAAACTGATTCTAATAATTGTGGAAAGACCAATTTTACCTAGATTAGCTAAAACAATTTGGAAAAAGGATAGTTGGTGGCTGGGCGCAGTGGCTCATGCCTGTAATCCCAGCACTTTGGGAGGCGGAGGTGGGTGGATCACCTGAGGTCAGGAGTTCAAGACCAGCCTGGCCATCATGGTGAAACCCTATCTTTATTTAAAAAAAAAAAAAAAGGTATAGTTGGAGGAATCAGTTTACTCAGGGTAAGACTTGCTATATAGCTACATAATCCAGCCTAGTGTGGTATTGGCCAAGGGACAGGTGGACACAGATCAATGGAACCCAACAGAACCCAGAACTAGACCTCCACAAGTATATACAACTGATTTTTTTTTAGGCAGGGTCTTGCTCTGTCACCCAGGATGGAGGGCCCTGGTGCTATTACAGCTCACTGCAGCCTTGACCTCCCTGGGCTCAGGCAATCCTTCCACCCCAAGCCTCCCAAGTAGCTGGGATTACAGGTGTAGGCCACCATGCCTGGCTATTTGTATTTGTTTTGTTTTTGTTGTTGTTGTTGTTGTTTTCAGATGGAGTTTCTTTTTGCCCAGGCTGGAGTGCAGTGGTGTGATCTTGGCTCACTGCAGCCTCCACCTCCCGGGTTCAAGTGATTCTCCTGTCTCAGCCTCTGGAATAGCTGGGATTACAGGCACGTGTCACCATGGCCAGCTAGCTTGTTTTGTACTTTTAGCAGAGACAGGGTTGCACCATGTTGGCTGGGCTGATCGTAAACTCCTGACCTCAGATGATCCACCTGCCTCGGTCTCCCAAAGTGCTGAGATTATGGGAGTAAGCCACCAGACCAGCCTATTTTTATTTTTTTATAGAGACAAGGTTTCACTATGTTGCCCAGGCTAGCCTCGAATTTCGGAGTTCAAGAAATCCTCCCACCTCAGCCTCCCAAAATGCTGAGATTACACACAATTGATTTTTTACAAAGGTACAAAAGCAATGTAAGGGAAGAAAGACAGCCTTTGAACAAAGGGCACTGGAGCTATTAGACATCTTAGGCTAAAAATACACAATAATAGACCTAAAACTTATACCTTATATAAAAGTTGACTGAAAATGGATTATGGACTTAAATGTAAAATAAAATTGTCTAATTTTTAGAACAAAACAGGACAAAATCTAGGCAAAGAGTTCTTAGATTTGACACCAAAAGTGTCAAATTTTTCATAATCCATGAAAAATTTTTGATTAATTGGGCCTAATCAAAATTAAAAACTTTTGCTGTGCAAAACAGAATGAAAAGACAAGTACAGAATGGGAAAAATAGTTGCAAGTGATGTATTCAACAAAGGGCCGGTGTCTGTAATGTATAAAGAATTCTTAAAACCCAACAGTAACAAACAATTCAATTAGAAGATGGATATAGTTGCTCACACCTGTAATCCCAGCACTTTGGGAGGCTGCGGTGGTCAGATCACTTGAGCTCAGGAGTTCAACACTGGCCTGGGCAACATGGCAAAAACCCTGTCTCTACCCCAAAAATACAAAAATTAGCTAGATGTGGTGGCACATGCCTGTAGTCTCTTGGGGGAGCTGAGGTGGCAGGATCGCCTCAGCCTGGGAGGTCAAGGTTGCAGTGAGCTGTGATCATGCCACTGCATTGTAGCCTGGGTGACACAGTGAGACATGAGACTCTATCTAAAACAAAACAAAAAAAAGTTCACCACTATTAACTATTAGGGAAATGCAAATTAAAAACACAATGAGCTATTACGACACACCTATCAGAAAGACTAAAATGCAAAAATAGTGAGAACACCAAATGCCGTCAAGGATGTGGCAACACTGGACTACTCATATACATATTGCTAGTGGAGATGTAAAATGGCACAGACACTCTGGAAAATAGTTTGCTAGTTTCTTATAAAATAATATTACATTTACCTTACCACCCAGCAATTGTATTCTTGGGCATTTATCCCAAAGATGTGAAAACTTGGGTTTATACAAAAACCTGTACATAAATGCTTATAGCAGTTTTATTTATTATTTTATTTTATTTTATTTTATTTTTTTTTTTTTTGAGACGGAGTTTCACTCTTGTTACCCAGGCTGGAGTGCAATGGTGCGATCTCAGGTCACCGAAACCTCCGCCTCCTGGGTTCAGGCAATTCTCCTTCCTCAGCCTCCTGAGTAGCTGGGATTACAGGCACGCGCCACCATGCCCAGCTAATTTTTTGTATTTTTAGTAGAGACTGGGTTTCACCAAGTTGACCAGGATGGTCTTGTTCTCTTGACCTCGTGATCCACCCGCCTCGGCCTCCCAAAGTGCTGGGATTACAGGCTTGAGCCACCGCGCCCGGCCGCTTACAGCAGATTTATTCATAGTAGCCCCAAAGTAGAAACAACCAAATGCCCTTAAATGGATGAAAGGTTAAGTAAACTGTGGTACCTCCATACCATGAAATACTTTTTAGCAATAAAACAGAGTGAACTATCCATATATACAACAACTGGGATGGATCTCAAGGGAATGATGCTGAGTAAAAAAAGCCAATCACAGGGCTGGGTGAGGTGTCTTATGCCTTTAATCCCAGCACTTTGGGAGGCTGAGGTGGACAGATCACTTGAGGTCAGGAGTTCGAGACCAGCCTGCCCAACATGACAAAAATCTCATCTCTGCTAAAAAATACAGAAATTATCCACCTGTGGCGGCGCATGCCTGTAATCCCAACTACTCAGGAGTCTGAGACAGAAGAATCGCTTGAACCTGGGAGGTGGAGGTTGCAGTGATCTGAGATCATGCCATTACACTGCAGCCTGGGCAACAGAGTGAGACTCCATCTCAAACAACAACAACAAAAAAAGCTCACTGGGCACAGTGGTTCACGCCTGTAATCCCAGGTGTGGAAGGCTGAGGCAGGAGAATCATTTGAACTCTGGAGGTGGAGGTTGCAGTGAACTGAGATTGTGCCGTTACACTCCAGCCTGGGCAACAGAGCAAGACTCCATCTCAAAAAATAAAAAAATAAAGCCAATCACAAAGGTCACATAGTGTATAATTCTATGTATATAACTTTGTTCTTGAAATAACATAATAGAGATTTAGTGGTTGCCAGGGGTTGGGGATTAGGGGTGAATGGGAGGAATGTGGCTATGAAAGGGTAGCAGGAGGAAGCCTTATAGTGATGGAAATGTTCTGTGTCTTGATTATAGTGGTTGTGTAAATCTACATATGTGATAAAATGGCATAGAACTAGACATATCAACACATGCGCTTGAAAGCTAGGAACACTGGTGAAATCCGAACAAGCTCTGTGGATAGTACCAATGTCAGTTTGCTATTTGTGATATACTATAGCACTTTTTTTTTTTAAAGATAAGGGTCTTGCTATGTCACCTGGGCTAGACTTGAACTCGTGGACTCAAGTGATCCTCTCACCCTAGCCTCCCAAGTAACTGGTACTACAGGCCCCTGGCTTGTACAATACATTTTGTGGTACAGTTGTTATTATTAAGGGAAACCAAGTGAAGGGTTTGTGGACTTTTTGCAGCTTCCTGGGAATCTATAATTATCTCAAAGTTTTTTGTTTGGCTTTTTTTTTTTTTTTGAGATGGAGTCTCACTCTGTCGCCAGGCTGGAGTGCAGTGGTGCAATCTTGGCTCACTGCAACCTCTGCCTCCTGGGTCTAATCAATTCTCCTGCCTCAGCCTCCTGAGTAGCTGGGACTACAGGCATGCGATCAAAGTTTGAAAAAAAAAATGACAAATTATGGGAAATGCTATCAAGGAAACCCAGAAACAGCTGGGTATGGTGGCTCACACCTGTAATTCCAACACTTTGGGAGGCTGAGGCGGGCAGATCACTTGAGGTCAGGAGTTCAAGACTAGCCTGACCAACATAGTGAAACCCCATCTCTAATTTTTAAAAGTTAGCGGGGCATGGTGGCGGATGCCTGTAATTCCAGCTACTCAGGAGGTTGAGGTAGGAGAATCACTTGAGCCTGGGAGGCAGAGGTTGCAGCGAGTGGAGATTGTGCCACTGTACTCCAGCACTCCAGCCTGGACAACAGAGAGAAACTCTCAAAAAAAGAAAAAGGAAACCCACAGAGCCTGAGATGAAAAATGAAAGGAAGACCTCCTGATGGGGTGGCAAAGGCTTCTCTGGAGGGATGAAGAGAGATCAGAGAAGGAACATTTGGGTATTCCATTCTTCCCAGAAGAAAACACCAGGAGAAGCCTCCTAGCCAGTGATGTTCAAAGACAGAACCAGTGCTTGAAAGGAATGTCTTACTTTTCTTCTTGGTACCTTTTCCCCTCTCCTCCTCTTAACCTCCTGTGTTGATTTTCTTCTCTTTTTCCATAAGCCTGGACAAACTGCTTGATGCTGGTCTCTATACTGGAGAAGTTACTGAAATTGTAGGAGGCCCAGGTAGCGGCAAAACTCAGGTACACGTGAGGCCAGCAGTCAGAAGGATTTGGGGATGGGAGTAGTGGATGCATAGGCCAGGGTCCCTGGGGGAGCTTCAGTGTACTGTTGGGTTCAGAGCCCAATGGAGAGAAGATGGATAATAAGGAGTGGGGCTTGGACTTGGCCCATTTGTGTTCCTGGAATCTGGGCAAGGTTTGGTGGAGAGCTCCCATTCTGGACCTTCTCTAAAGTGTCAAGTTCATTCAATGCCCCCACCCCCAGGTATGTCTTTGTGTGGCAGCAAATGTGGCCCACGGCCTGCAGCAAAACGTCCTATACGTAGATTCCAGTGGAGGGCTGACAGCTTCCCGCCTCCTCCAGCTGCTTCAGGCTAAAACCCAGGATGAGGAGGAACAGGTAAGGGGCAGCATGCTGGATTCCGTTGAGATTCTGACCACAAGAAAACCCCATTATCCCTTACATTGTAAGAACTGGGGGTGAGTAGTCATTCCCTGCCTTGAAATTTGCTGTTCTATTAATACATCGTGTATTCCTTAAGCCACCCCTGTTGATGCCATCATCCCATTTGGGGTGCTGCTCACACTGATTCTTCCAGGAAACCCAACTCCTTGCATATCCTAAATCAGGGCTGGCAAACACTGAGCTTCTTTATGTTTCCAGTCCATTTCTCGCCCATGAGAGACATCGCTAATTGGTCGTATCCCTCTTTCCCACTGAGTACTTTATAGCTCAGCACCCAGGCAGCCACCGCTGTGACAACTGGCCCATTAGACAATGCTCGTTTGCCACCCTGGACCTGAGTCCTTACATCCAGCTGCCTCTTCCTTCTCAGCCTTACCTTGACCCCCTGCTCTCTCTTATCTAAAGCCCTGGCTTCTCTTTTCCACCCCTTAAGGCAGAAGCTCTCCAGAGGATCCAGGTGGTGTATGCATTCGACATCTTCCAGATGCTGGATGTGCTGCAGGAGCTCCGAGGCACTGTGGTTCAGCAGGTGAGCCTACTGTTTTGCACCTCCTTGCTTAACTCAGCTTGCCAGGTGCTACCTCTGTGGACAAGTGTCCTACTACAGACTGTTTGGAAATGCAGATGTGCAATCTGATGACTCCAGCTATGCTTGCCACTCTCAGGATGGAACTCCTGAGCACCTAAATCATATACCTCATTGTTTACGTGTTCATCTTCCCTGCTGAACAGTAAAGCCCCTTGAGCGGAAGGATCAGGTCATATTTATCTCTGCATTCCCCACTAGATGAGTGAGGAATATTTTTAGCTGTAAGTAATAGAGGTTGTCTGACAGAGACTTGAACCTTGAGGACATTTAATTATCTCACATGAGTTGGGAGGTTGGCAGGTCCATGCTATCAGGGCAATAGGTTGTATATCTGATTTTCTTGTTCTTCCCCTCATGGTTGCAAAGAGGTTGCTATAGCTCTAAGCATCTTGTCTTCATGCATCCATATCCAGATTCAGGGCAGTGAAAGATAGATGGTTCTTTTTTGTACCTCTTCCCCTTTTATCAGGAAGGAAGAATCTTTCTCCAGAGCCCACTGGTAGGCATCCCTCTTCCCCTTACATCTGGTTGGCCAAAATGGAGTTACGTGTGTATCTTGGACTAAGGCCTGGGCCCACTATCCCTAAAGTCAGATTTCTTCCTGGGGCCTGAACACATTCAGAGTCCTGTTAACAGGGAGGATTTAGAATGGCATTTGGTTTGGTACTTTGCCATTCGTGTTGGGTGCTTAGACAGGGTTTGGTGCACTGATTTATAAACTACTCGATTTGGAAGATACCTTAAAGATAGAATAGTTCACCTCAAACCTTTTCTCTCACCCCAAAGCATGACATGTTCATACGGGCATCCCCAGGACTGTATATAGAGTCGGTGGTTTTTACAAACTTTAGAACATAAAATAGTTGAACAAGCTGGGAGTGGTGACCCACACCTGTAATCTTAATGACTCGAGAGACTACAGTGAGAGGATTGCTTGAGCCCAGGAGTTGGAGGCTGCAGTGAGCTGATCATGCCACTGCACCTTAGCCTGGGTAAGAGAGCTAGACCCTGTATCCTACAAATTTTGAACAAATACTTGCCTCAGAAGTCATAGGTCATAGCTGGTTATGACCCACCAGCTTGTTGAGACATGAAGCTGAGTAGTACTGATCTCACTTTTAGAGATGAGAAGAGTGAAGGCCAGAGAAGTGAAGTGAGTTGACCAAAGTTGACAACATATTTAGGACAAGAACTAACCCTACAGCCAAGTCCTCTCCATTCCAGATCAGAAGACTATATTTTGTACTACAGGACCATGAGATGGCATATCTTTTATTGTTGCATAATAAGTTATCAAAACCTTAGTGGTTTAAGACATGTATTTCTTATCTCACAGTTTCTATGGGTTAAGAATCTGAGGCCGGGAGCCGTGGCTCATGCCTATAATCCCAACTCTTTGGAAGGCCGAGGCAGGAGGATCACTTGAACCCAGGAGTTCAAGACTAGCCTGGGCAACATAGTGAGACCCTGTCTACAAAAAGAAAGAGAGAGACAGAGAGAGAGAACCAGAATCAGGATATAAGAAGTAAGGGAGAAGAGAAAAGAAGCAACAAAAACAATTTAAATCCAGGGAAACCAGGAGGATGCTCCTGCGTGTGTAAAGACAGGAAATTATGGTTACAAAGATGGCACCAGGCTGGGCATGCTAGCTCATGCCTCTAATCCTGGCACTTTGGGAGGCCAAGGTGGGCAGATCACTTGAGGCCAGGAGTGTGAGACCAGCCTAGCCAACTTGGTAAAATCCGTCTCTGCTAAAAATACAAAAATTAGCTGGATGTGGTAGTGTGCACCTGTAGTCCCAGCTACTTAGGAGGCTGAGGCATGAGAATCACTTAAACCCATAGAGAGAGGTTGCAGTTAACTGAGATCATGCCACTGCACTCCAGCCTGGGTGACAGAGCAAGACTTAGGGAATTTATTTGGAGGCATTTTAGATATGGAAGATGAGGCCTGGAGTCATGATCTAGAAGGAGACAGTGGAGTAAAGAGAAGGCTAAACTCTTCAGCAAAGGAAGTTAGAAATTTAAGGGTGGTAGTTAGCAGGACAGGAGAAAGAAGGTGGGGAGTCAGCAAAGGAAGAGAAGGGCCTACCACTATGGTGGGAGGCTGGATGCAGGAGAAAGATGGCTGCTGAGAGATCCATGACCAGAAAGGCCTCAGGACTACATTGGGCTTTCTGAAATGTGATGACTTTAGTATGGTTTTAAATTTTTTTTTTTTTTTTTGAGAGTCTTGATCTGTTGCCCAGGCTGGAGTGCAGTGGTGCAATCTCAGTTCACTGCAAACTACACCTCCCAGGTTCAAGCGATTTTCCTGCTTCAGCCTCCCAGGTAGCTGGGATTACATGTGTGCACCACCACAGCCAGCTAATTTTTGTATGTTTAGTGGAGATAGGGTTTCGCCATGTTGGCCAGGCTGGTGTCGAACTCCTGATCTCAAGTGATACACTGCCGTGGCTTCCCAAAGTGTTGAGATTACAGGTGTGAGCCACTGCACCTGGCCACTTTAGTTTTGATGTCCTGTGATTTAAATCCTTTATTTCGACTCAAGTCTTCAGTGAAGTCTGTTATACATACCAATGGGATGAGGGAGACATTGCTGCTGATGACGTTCTGTGATGCAGCTAGCTGTATTTGGGATGAGGGGGGTTATTTATTTATTTTTTTAATTTATTTATTATACTTTAAGTTCTGGGATACATGTGCAGAATGTGCAGGTTTGTTACATAGGTATACATGTGCCATGGTGGTTTGCTGCATCCATCAACCTGTCATCTACATTAGGTATTTCTCCTAATGTTATCCCTCCCCAATTCCCTACCCCCTGCTATCCCTCCCCTAGACCCCCACGAGGGTGGGGGACAGTTATTTCTTACTAGTTTCAGACAGAAGAGCAGGCTTGTCCTGTAATGTGTCCTAGAGGCCAAGAGGTTCGTGAGTGCTTCCCCCACATTCCCTCAGGTGACTGGTTCTTCAGGAACTATGAAGGTGGTGGTCGTGGACTCAGTCACTGCGGTAGTCTCCCCACTTCTGGGAGGTCAGCAGAGGGAAGGTGAGTGATGTGGCAGAGCCTGGGGTCAGTGGAATGTGACCTCGCCTCCCAGCTCTGGATTCTGGCCCCTGGCCAGCCCCATCCCTGGTTCCCCGCTGCCCTCCCTCTCTGCTTCTCCTCCTCCTGCAGGCTTGGCCTTGATGATGCAGCTGGCCCGAGAGCTGAAGACCCTGGCCCGGGACCTTGGCATGGCAGTGGTGGTGAGGAAGCAGGCTTGGCCAGTGAACTTGATTTTTAGTTATTGCTAGCTCTTTATTTCCTTTCAATGTCAGCTTCCAAACACCAAAGTGGCCCTTTAGGAAGGGGACAGATCCCTGCTTTCCTGGGTCAGCTAAAGCTCTGCACCATAAATAGCTTAAGGAATCAGGAATTGGCTTTGTTTGTTGATTGGTTTTTTCCTACCTTTTTCTTTTTAGTCAGGTTTATTGAGGTGTAACTTACATAGAGTAACTTTCTCCTTGAAATTCGACTAATGGAGATAGTTGTATCCAGTCTTGTGACCTTACCAAAGGGTCCCCCAGGCCCGTGCAGCCACTGATCTGTTTTCCATCCCAATAGTTTGGCCTTTTCCAGAGCTTCATATGAATGGATGTTTTTGCTGTTGAAGTAACTTTTTCTGCTTATGAGGTAGTTTTTTTTAAAGTCTGCTTGCTTCTTTCTCACAGAAAGGATAAAAAAATATATGATTCATATTTGCCATCAATCTCTATATCCACAGAAACCATATTAATATTTTTACATATCTCCATAAAATATTTTTTCTGCATATTTACTTATACATTTAACCAACTTTTTTTTCTTTTTTCTTTTTCTTTCCTTTTTTTTAAGATAGGGTTTCACTCTGTTGCCCAGGCTGGATTGTGAGGGTGCAATCACTGCTCACTGCAGCTCAACCTCCCAGGCTCAACCAATCCACCCGCCTCAGCCTCCCAAAATGTTGATATTACAGGTGTGAGCCCAGCCTTAACCAACTTTCTAACTAAACTAACCTCATGAAAAAAAAAATAGGCCAGGTGTAGTGGTTTATGCCCGTACATCCCAGCACTTTGGGAAGCCATGGCTGGTGGATCACGTTAGCCCAGGAGTTCGAGACCAGCCTGGGCAACATGGCAAAATTGCACCTCTATAAAAAGTACAAAATCCGGGTAGCCTTGGTGGCAGGAGGATTGCTTGAGCCTGGAAGGTCGAGGCTTCAGTGAGCTATGATCATGCCACTGCACTCCAGCCTGGGCAACAGAGCAAAACCTCATCTCAAAAACAAACAGGCCAGGCACGGTGGCTCATGCCTGCAATCCCAGCACTTTGGGAGGCTGAGACTGGCAGATTGCTTGAGCTCAAGAGTTTGAGACCAGCCTGGACAACATGGTGACACCCTGTCTCTACAAAAAATACAAAACATGAGCCAGGCATGGTGGTACACCCCTGTAGTTCCAGCTACTTGGGAGGCTGAAGTGGGAGGATCGCTTGAGCCCAGGAGGCGGAGGCTGCAGTGAGTCATGATCATGCCACTGCACTCCAGGCTGGGTGACAAAGTGAGACCCTGTCTCAAAAAAAAAAAAGTGTGGTGGACATGGTCTCTGGATGCCCATTTGTTGGGTTGGTGGTACAGTAGATCTAAGCCCACCACTGGCTTTCCTGGAAAGTACAGCTAGCACTGCTTTTTCCCAGACGTGTGCCCCATCACCTTCTGGTTCAAGTCAAGCCCGAGGCATCAAAGTTTAGTGGGAAGATCTGGACACAAGTCAGGAGGCCCAGGTTCTGGTTGTAGACCTGCCATTAGGTTTTGTAACCTTGGGGAAGTTATTTCTCCGTGGTAGGCCTCCGTTCTCCTGTCTGTAAAATGAAGCAGTAGTAACAGATGTCCTTTATACTAGCATTATGGACCTGTAAGTCTGTTTTTGCTGCAGGTGACCAACCACATAACTCGAGACAGGGACAGCGGTAGGCTCAAACCTGCCCTGGGACACTCCTGGAGCTTTGTGCCCAGCACTCGGATTCTCCTGGACACCATCAATGGAGCAGGAGCATCAGGCGGCCGGCGCATGGCATGTCTGATCAAATCTCCCCGACAGGTGAGCCAGCCCCAGGAGGATGCCAATAATCTTGGGCCCTGGAGGGTGGTTTCCATACTCACATATGTATTTGAGAAGAACTCTTTATTTGCTTGTTTTTTTGAGATGGAGTTTCGCTCTTGTTGCCCAGGCTGGAGTACAGTGGTGTAATCTTGGCTCACTGCAACTTCTGCCTCCCAGGTTCAAGCAGTTTTCTTGCCTCAGCCTCCTGAGTAGATGGGATTATAGGCATGTGCCAACACGCCCAGCTAATTTTGTATTTTTAGTAGAGATGGAGTTTCCCCATGTTGGCCTGGCTGGTCTCAAACTCCTGAGCCAGGTAATCCACCTATTTCGGCCTCCCAACGTGCTGGGATTACAGGTGTGAGCCACCACGCTCGGCCTTTTTTTTTTTTCTTTTTTGAGACAGAGTCTTGCTTTGTCACCCAGGCTGGAGTGCAGTGGCACAATCTTGGCTCACTGCAACCTCCACCTCCTGGGTTCAAGTGGTTCTCCTGCCTCAACCTCCCAAGTAGCTGGGATTACAGGCATGCACCACCACACCCAGCTAATTTTTGTATTTTTAGTAGAGACAGGGTTTCACCATATTGGCCAGGCTGGTCTCGAACTCCTGACCTAGTGATCTACCCTCCTCTGCCTCCCAAAATGCTGGGATTACAGGCGTGAGCCACTGCACCTTGGCGAGAAGAACTCTTTAGAGGCTGAAACCTTGCAACTAAAGAAGCTACCCACTTGGGTTGCTTAATTCCACTTATTCCTTCCTATTCCTTCTTCCAGCCCACAGGTTTCCAGAAGATGGTAGACATTGGGACCTGGGGGACCTCAGAGCAGAGCACCATGTTACAGGTCGATCAGATGTGACCTGTGTAGTATTTGGAAAACCTGCCAACTTTCCTTCCCAGTAATGCCTGCTGTTTACTGCCACCTGGCACTGATGACCACAGAAGTTCTCAGGCTGGCCAGAAGAGACATCTTGGTTTCCATGTCCTCACTCTCTATAAGCATATAAACCACAGGCGAGAGAGGATGCTGCAGTGCGAGGACCCAGAAATTCATGCTGGTACCACATTTCCTTCCCTCATTTTGAATGTGTATGTTTCCAGTGGAAACCAAGTTCACCCTGGCTGGGAGCATCTCTGAAGAGGCATGCTGGCCACTGGATGGATAACCTGTGTATCACCATGTGTCCTGTGCTCCATCCTAGCTCAGTGGCCAAGCCGGGAAAGCCTCTAACTTGTCTTTGCTGTTGCTGCTTAAATGTCAGCTTCCAAACCCCAAAGTGGCCCTTTAGGAAGGGGACATATCCCCACTGCTGCCTCTTGGTTTTTCATTTGTTAAATGGGGGCCACTCTCCCTTAGCTCTGTCTCTGAGTTACTGGGTGGAAATAAGCTTATAAATTAAATACTCTTCTTCATCTCTGTTTTGCTCTTAAAAATATTAAAAGGCAATTCCCCGAGCCCTAGAGCCACCTGATTTTCCCCCAGAAGGTTGTTTTTCAGTTTCCCCCAGTGAGGCCCAAAGAACAGTTATTCCTCCTTTCCTCTTGCTGATTGGGTTTCAGACGTGCATGCATCACCATGATTAGATGAAAACATGTGGGCTCGCTGCAGTCCCAGGGATATAATTTAACAGGAAGGGAGGATCTGACCTGCTCCTGGTGAATCCAGCCACTTGTTTAATATGCATGGTGCCCTGTGGGGCCCCTCCACAGTACAGCGTAACTAGAGGTGCTGAACCATGGCCTTGCCCATAAACAGACAGGAGAATCTGCACAGTAAATAGAGCCAGCTGGGAAAATTGATGCTGGTGTAAATAATACATGGCAAATCTAGTCCTTTATGCAGAAATTCATTGCTGGTGGCTCCAAGATACAATATAATTACACCTCTCTTCCTGCCAGCTGTACCATGGCCTAGTGCCCTAGTGTATAGAATACTCCTCTGTCTTTTACCAGCACTGTGGCCATTGTCTGAGAGCCATGAGCCTCACCGGGAGGGGAGGACGACACCAGGAAATGGAAAATAAAAGGAAAAGTAGAGAAATCAGGATTGTTTGTTGGCCACATCTTTTTTTTTTTATTTTTTATTTTTTTTTTATTAGCCACATCTTTTAAAGGAAGGTCACCGGCTGGGTATGGTGGCTCAAGCCTGTAATCCCAGCACTTTGGGAGGCCGAGGTGGGCGGATCACCCAAGGTCGGGAGTTCGAGACCAGCCTGACCAACATGGAGAAACCCCGTCTCTACTAAAAATACAAAATTAGCCGGGTGTGGCAGTGCATGCCTGTAATCTCAACTACTTGGAGGCTGAGGCAGGAGAATCACTTAAACCCAGGAGGCAGAAGTTGCAGTTTGCGGAGATCGTGCCATTGCACTCCAGCCTGGGCAACGAGAACGAAACTCTGTCTCAAAAAAAAAAAAAGCCAGGCACGTTGGCTCATGCCTGTAATCCTGGCACTTTGGGAGGCTGAGGCAGGCGAATCACAAGGTTAGGAGTTCAAGACCAGCCTGACCAACATGGAGAAACCCCACCTCTATTATTGAAAAAAAAAAAAAAGAAAAGGAAAGTTGCCTTTCTTGGTTAGAGAGACTGTTATGTAATGAATTAGTTGTGTCTTGGCTGCAAGAAAAGAGGGTCAGAGTTACATTCAGAAGATAATGACATTTAAAGGTGATGAATGCAGCAGGGATAGAACCATGGAGGATTGGGAAGGCGTGGCAAACTGGCACCAGGGTGTTGGAGGGAGGACAGGGTTGGTAAGCCTAAGGCTGGGGGAACCCTCCCACTTACTTTCACAGAAGACCCCAGGAGAAATTAATCTTCAATATCTTTATATCATGGGTGATTGGCACATTCCTGCAACCCCAGTAAGAAGCAATACATGATGCTGGAAATTGCAATTTCCTGCCACTCAAGGTACTATTTGGGGATCTGAAGCCCACAGCAGACATCGCTAATAAAGCACAAGCACTCTTTTTTGTGGAATTCAAAGTGTTTTGAAGTTTTTCTCAATACAGCACTCCAGGTAGCCACTACCAGTCAGTTGGAGTTGGTATTCAAGGTGGAGTCTGGGCTGCCATCTCTGCCCTGTTTCCTGTATATAGTGAGTTCAGGTACTTAATACCTAACTGAGGACCCTAGATCTGCTGTTTGACATCACCTGGGGACCAGATACCATGGCTCAAACCTGTATGGTAGCAATTTAGGAGCCTGAGGCAGGAGGATCACTTGAGCCCAGGAGTTCGAGACCAGCCTGGTCAATATGGCGAACCACTGTCTCTGATAGAAATATAGAAATTAGCTGGGCGTGGTAGCACAGGCCTGTAATCCCAACTACTTGGAAGGCTGAGGAGGGAAGATCGCTTGAGCCCAGGAGGTGGAGTTTGCAATGAACTGAGAACATGCCACTGCACTTCCAACCTGGGCAATAGAGACTCTGTTTCAAAAAAGAGAAAATAAAAGAAATCCTCGGCCGGGCGCGGTGGCTCATGCCTATAATCCTAGCACTTTGGGAGGCCGAGGCAGGTGGATCACGAGGTCAAGAGATCGAGACCATCCTGGTCAACGAGGTGAAACCCCGTCTCTACTAAAAATATAAAAATTAGCTGGGCATAGTGGTGCGTGCCTGTAATCCCAGCTACTCGGGAGGGTGAGGCAGGAGAATTGCTTGAACCCAGAAGGCAGAGGTTGCAGTGAGCCAAGAACGTGCCATTGCACTCCAGTCTGGGTAACAACAGCGAAACTCCGTCTCAAAAAAAAAAAAAGAAATCCCCACATTTTCTTTAATTTCCAATCTATACAGTTCTATTCCTGCTAGGGCTCTAACTCCTCCAGCTGAAGGCGCCATAGCTCTCACTCAAGGAGCTGCTGTGGCCATGGGAAAGTATTCCATTCACTGCTACTTCAGACCACCACGTGACATTCCTGCAGGCTGTGCCCCTCACAGCTGGCTTCATCCTTTAGATCTTCCTAGACCTGCCTGCTGCCACTGCACTCTCTTTTCCAGCCACACCACACTGTGCAGTCCCCTGATAGGACTTGGACTAGGCTGACTCTCTTGCCCAAGTGCCTTTTGCTCCCTTTGCTAAGGTGTCTGTTTCTGCCCAGCTCCCACTGTGTCTGGTGCACACCCACCGTGACATCCTTTCTTATGCCTCAGCTGTGGTCCAGATAGATATTTGCAGTAACTCCCCTGTATTATTTATTCACTTGTACTTTTTTTTTCACTTGTCTGCCTACAGGCTCCCACTTTTTTTGTCAGTTTTTCTATATTATGGAAGCTCAGTAATTATTAAATAGATGAATGATTTAAAAAAAATAAATAAGCAAAGGACTGACTATCTCAGGGGTTCCTTCGATAAAGTATTAGCTTTTAATCTCCCCTGCAGGGGTGGTTTGAGACCTGAGGGCACGCTCTAGTTCTTAGGGAAAAAAATACATACACACACACATATACATACACACACACACACCAGGCACAGTGGCTCACGCCTATAATCCCAGCACTTTGGGAGTCTGAGGCAGGCAGATCCCTTGAGGTCAGGAGTTAGAGATCAGCCTGGCCAACACGGTGAAACCCTGTCTCTACTAAAAATACAAAAATTGGCTGGGTGTGGTGGTGGGCACCTGTAATCCCAGTTATTTGTGAGGCTGAGGCACGAAAATCACCCTCAGGAGATAGAGGTTGCAGTGACCCGAGATTGTGCCACTGTACTCCAGCCTAAGCAACAGAGTGAGACTGCATCTCAAAAAAAGAGTGTACATATATATATATATATATATATGAATGAGAGGGTTTTAATGCATTTTAAAGATGGCAAGGGAGGAATGCAAGAATGTTTTTCTCTTGATCTAATCATTGAGTCCCCAGAGGGTCATCTTACGCATCTTTTTACATGGGACTATTGTGTGCCCTTCATCTGCCATTAGACAAAACTAATGTGGAGACCCTATTATGTGCTAGCACTTGATGGCTTTAATTAAAAATCAGGCATTTGAATTCTCAAGGACTCAGGCAAAAAGTTCATGTATTATTAAGGCAGCAAGTAACAAAACCTAGCTTAAAGAAGTGTAAATAATAGGGACACACACACATATATATATTTTATTATTACTATTATTATTCAAGACAGAGTCCTGCTCTGTCTTCCAGGCTGGAGTGGGAGTGCAGTGGCACAATCACAGCTCACTGCAGCCTCTACCTGCCAGGCTCAAGTGATCCTCCCACCTCAGTCTCCCAAGTAGCTGGGACTATGGGTGTGCGCCACCACATCTGGCTAAGTTTTGCAATTTTTGTAGAGACGGGGTCTGCCTATGTTTCCCAGGCTGGTCTTGAACTCCTGGGCTCAGGTGACCTACCCTCCTTGGCCTCCCAAAGTGCTAGGGATTATTGTCATGAGCCACCATGCCTAGCACAGACACTTATGATCTCTGATAACACAAAGCCTGAAGCTGGTTATTCAGTGGCTCATTGTCAAATAGCACAGGGCCTTTGCATCCTTCTGCTCTGTTCTTTTGTGTTGGTTTTGTTGGGGTGCCAGCCCCAACCCTGTACATGGGTGCCCTTAGTCCTGGCGGTGATGAGGGATTGAGAAAAGGAAATAAAGACAAAGACACAAGTAGAATTTACAGCATGGGTCCAGGGGAATAACGCAAGCTTTGGCCCTGAGCTCTGGGCTCCAAACACTTTTATTATGTGCATAATCTCATTGATCTTATGGGAGTGGAAGGGGAGGATGAAGTGGTAGCACTTGTGATCCTTCTAAAACCCGCTAAACTAAGTGCTCTGAGTGTTTAACAACACTTGAGATCCTTCTAAGACAAGCTAAACTACTACTCTGAGTTCATCACCGATTGTTATCAGGGTGGAGCTGCATCAGAAGCACAGCGGATGAGGAGCCACCGAGTCTGACCACACCCAATGCTTCAAGGGGCTTTCATCTCCCGAGCACTGAGGACATAAGGCAATTAAAATCACTCAATATTCTGAGAAACTAGGCAGAGACTGAGGCCTTCTGTGATCTCTGCCCCGCAAGGCTTTTCTCCTCCTTGCCAGCTCCCACCTGCAAAGACGGACCTTGTGAACAGAGGTCGCCTCCCTTCTCAGAGATCTTTGCATAAGCCCTCTTTACAAGATCCTCATGCAGTCTCCATGTTGAGAAGGCGTTCGTGGGACCAGAGCAGTATTGCCTGCTCTGCAACCACCCCTCGGTGTTTACCAGTGTTACTGCGCTCTCAGATGGTCTTTACCTTAGGCCTCCTGTTGCCGCTTGATTTCTAATATAATATAGAAATATAATAATAATATAGTTTAGTTCGGTATATAACCTTCAGTGTACTCTGAGCCAAGCAAGCTTATAATTATTTAGCTAGAATTAACATAGGTCTCCCCCTGGTCATCTTGACCCACAGGTTTTGTCTTCAAACATGTTTCCCTTATCAAAGCCTAGCTGCAACCATTCTGAAAAACAATCCAGGCATGACAATATCTACAGGCAGGAAAAGGATCACCTGTGTTTCTTCTAAAGAACAGGTGTTGGCTGGGCGCGATGGCTCACGCCTGTAATCCTAGCACTTTGGGAGGCTGAGGTGGGTGGATCACCTGAGATCAGGAGTTCAAGACTAGCCTGGCCATCATGGTGAAATCCCATCTTTAAAAAACAAAAACAGGTGTTAAGGTGCCAGGCACTGTGGCTTCTGTCTGTAATCCCAGTACTTTGGGAAGCCAAAGTAGGAGGATCACTCGAGGCCAGGAGTTCCAGACCAGCCTGGGCAACATAGGAAGACTTTGTCTTATAAAATAAAATAATAATAAAAATTAAGAAAACAAGGTGTTGGCTGGGCATGGTGACTCACATCTGTAATCCCAGCACTTTGGGAGGCCAAGGTGGGCGGATCACAAGGTCAAGAGATCGAGACCATCCTGGCCAACATAGTTAAACCCATTTCTACTAAAATACAAAAATTAGCTGGGCATGGTGGTGGGCACCTGTAGTCCCAGCTACTGGGAAGGCTGAGGCAGAAGAATTGCTTGAACCCGGGAGGCAG